AAATATTGTATTTTATTAAAAATAACTATTGTTTAATATTATTCAATGACACTATATAATTATATTAGAAGAAGATCATATGATATGCAGAATTTGATCACAATCTCAATTTTATTTCGAATAAAATTTTATCTGATATTGTTGTATGCTCAATAAGCTATGAAAATTGTGTCCTTGTTACATGAATTTTGTACATGATAAAATTAAAAATAGTTTAATAGAATAATAAAAAATATTTTATAAAAAATATTATTTGTTTTATGATATAATATCAGTATTTAAATCTACAATATTTCAATTAAAACCAATCAATATTAATATATGTTTTTTTAGTTATTTTATAACCTTAATTTAAAAAATATTATTAAACAAACACATTAAATTATTTTTTATTTAATTTTAATTTTAACTATAATTTTAATAAAATATATATTTTAACAAACTAATTTTAGGTAGCCTACTCTTCCCCTTCCTCTTCTTTAGCTGCATTTCCTTGTCTTTATTGTTCTACAAAGTGAACAATAAAGAATAAATTAATTCACTCACGTGAACACTAGAGAACATCTCCACTATTCATGGGTTGGAACGGGTCTGGTCCAAACCTAAATGTATTGGACCGAGTACGACCCAGTAAAATATATTCAACAAAATTTCTCAAATATTGTATTTTATTAAAAACAACTATTGTTTAATATTATTCAATGACACTATATAATTATATTAGAAAAAGATCATATGATATGCAGAATTTGATCACAATCTCAATTTTATTTCGAATAAAATTTTATCTGATATTGTTGTATGCTCAATAAGCTATGAAAATTGTGTCCTTGTTACATGAATTTTGTACATGATAAAATTAAAAATAGTTTAATAGAATAATAAAAAATATTTTATAAAAAATATTATTTGTTTTATGATATAATATCAGTATTTAAATCTACAATATTTCAATTAAAACCAATCAATATTAATATATGTTTTTTTAGTTATTTTATAACCTTAATTTAAAAAATATTATTAAACAAACACATTAAATTATTTTTTATTTAATTTTAATTTTAACTATAATTTTAATAAAATATATATTTTAACAAACTAATTTTAATAAAAAATATATTTTATTTTAGATCACAGTCATGTTTCTAACACACACCCGAACATTGCCTCTCTCCCCGTCACGTTCTACTGTCTGGAAATGCTGAGGGGTTCAGGTTTTTTTATTTTTAAATTATAATACACACACGCACACGTGCTCAGCAGACGGCGGACTGTTATCATGTTCGCTAAAGAGTTGTAAAAGCATACATGCCTGGCACTGATAACACGTAAAAGTTCTCCGAGCGCCAAAAGAGTTTCCGTTGCCGGGACTTGAACCCGGGTCTCTCGGGTGAGAGCCGAGTATCCTAACCAACTAGACTACAACGGAATGTTGCAGAGATTACGTACGTTAAATATAAAATACAATAACTACATAACGACGTCGATTTATAAAAACGCCTGCGTGCTCTTATGGCCGCATCATCACTTTGCGCTGAGTGGTTGCTTCGTTTGCTTAAGAATCACTGTCTGCCCGTATCGTTCCCTCGCTTTGTTTTCGTAGCTTTCAATTTCATGGCGGGGAAGTCGACAAACGGTATTCATTCCATCATCTCTTCTAACTCCCAAGAATTTATAAAGATTTTTTTATCTCATTTTCACCCTCTCAACTCAACAACAAACAGATCGATAGAAACATTAAATTCCATGCCTAACTGCGTATGAACAAATGATTGATTTGCAGATAATATATTAGAGCAGCTGAAACATGGGTTTGCCCATTTTGAGCTCGTCTCTTCCCCACTTCCTTCAATTTCCACCTCCAAACCTCACTCATTTCCTCCGCCTTTCTTCCCTTCCAACACCCATCGCTTCTTCGCTACAATCGGGCCTTCACTGTAAGACTTCTTCTTCTTCTTTCTTTCTTTCTTTTTATTGCATTTATAGACCTTGAAGACTAAACCCTTTGTTTTTATTTGAGGCAGGGGTTCACATTCGATGAAAAAAGTTGAGCATTATTCAGTTCAGAAAGTTACTGGAGATGGGCGCTGTCTATTTCGTTCTCTGGTACTAACTGATGAGGTGACACAACGTTGCTTCTCTTTTTTTTTTAGCCTTTAAGCTAATTCTGTCTGGTGGAAATCAGGTCAAAGGAATGGCTTTCAACAAGGGCATCTCTCTTAATCCACGAGAGGAGAGAGATAATGCAGGTATAGTTGATGTAATATTTTATTTTCTTGATCTCAATAGCATCAACAGGATAAGGAAGAGCTGTGAATTTGTTTTTCTTTCTGGCAAGCTGTCTTGCTTTGTTTTTATTATGGGATTCTCTTATCTTGTGTTTTTTTGTAGATATTGAAAAGATTATACTGCTTTAAATAGTGGCAGAAGCTTATATTTTCTTGCTATAAAAACTGCAGATGAACTACGAATGGCTGTGAAAGAGGTTATATGTGATAGTAAAGAAGAACGTAAACAGTACGAAGAAGCAGTTATTGCAATCACGGTTGATGAGTCTTTGAAACGGTGAGAGTTGAAGTAGTACAGTTATCATTGATTTTCTGATGGATGCTTTAGCATACTTTTGTGAATGGGATTTCATTGTACATCTGTTAATGTCTTTCTATAGTTACTGCCAACGCATTCAGCGACCTGATTTTTGGGGAGGCGAGTCAGAGCTACTGGTTAGTGATCCTTTTGATGCATTCTTTTATGCCTACATTTTCATGGTACCACTTGTTTTCTTGGTGATTGTGTTTGCAATTGTTCAGAGATCTGCTCATGAACTTACAGAGTTAATATGTATTTTTAGCTGACATAGCTCTGTCGAGTGTGTTGTTTTAGTTTCCATTGCGATGAAGATTGAGTTGTTTTCATAGAATTCCTAAGGATATCTATTTGGAGCATCAAATAGTGCCTTTACATCAGTAAAATTAGTGATTACCATCCGTGTCATGGAATGAAGTTGAGAAATTGATATGTTGCTACTAGTATCTAGATATGCCAAATTGATGAATTGTAATGGATATGTTTGAGCGTTTGTTTTTCTTTTTATGAGTGTTTGCTTTTCTTTTTAGTAAATTAAGATGAACACATGCCTACCCTCTTTTTTCTTACTACATTTCCATTTCATTTTGGGTGAGATGCAGAAAAGGACTGTCATTTCAAGCTTCAGTTAGCAGCTTTAGAAATTAGAATACTGTGCCTGAAGCGTTTTAGCTGTTATAAAGTATCACGTGTGACTGATTTTGCTCTGGGTGTTGTTTGTATGAGTTTTCTGCCTTTACCTGTGTGATTGTTTATATGTAATTTTTGCTGACATTTCACTATCCAACGATCATCACTGCTGAATTAGGTGCTGTCAAGATTGTGTAATCAGCCAATCATTGTTTACATACCAGAGCACGAGGTAAGTTTTTTCTTTCCACGATCATGCCATGCAAAATATTCTTGTAAGTTATGCTATATAGGTGACTAACCTTTTGCTTTTTCCACAATTACAATAACATAGTTATGCTATATAGCCAAGAAAGAGATGAAATTCACAAAAAGAATGAATTGGTTTCTTGGTTTTTGGTGCGTGCAAATGAGGGATATAGTTTGGGAGCCTCTGGCATTCTGGGGCTTATAGCAGGGGATGAGTGAGACCTTCATTATATGACAAGAATGGCTTTGCTTAGTAGTAGCTGTGTTTGACATGCTAAATTAGGTCGACTTTATGATCATTTGACAATCTTATTGCAATCATTAAATCTATGAATGTACTCATCTTGTTATGCTGCAGCATTTCTGCCAGGATTCAGTAGGTGAAAAAGTTACACCTTGTTTAGTCATGAGCAAGTGATAAAATCTTACATCCAATTAGAATGAAATTCAAGATTTTGCATGCTATGCAGCACGCCAGTCGTGGGTGGGGCTCTGGCTTTATTCCCATAGCAGAGTACGGAGCTGAGTTCCAGAAGGGCTCTTGGAAGGGAAAGCCAAGGAAAGCTGTGAGGCTACTGTACAGTGGTAAGAATCATTACGACTTGCTTGTCTGAGGCTTCAGAAGTAGACTTTCATCATGGGCGGAGGAAAACCAGCATTGATAATTGCCAAAGAAAGTGATGCTGATGCTATTTTGTACTGTTAGTATTTAAGGAGGATGTAGTCTTGCAGAGTTGCAGGGATTTACTGCTTTATGCGAAAGAAATTGAAAATCATGCAAAGCGCAGGCATACTCTTTTCCAGGCTTGATCGTGTATCTGCATTTCTTTTAGCCTAAACACCAGGAGGCCTCCTGGTTGAAAGTTACACTGGTGAAAGGAGTCGGAAGCATTATAATTTTAGAGTCAAATCGTCAGAACGGCTTTATATATATATATAACCTGCAAATTCTCGGTCGTTCTATATAGATACATTAATTATTATTATTTTTTTTTAAATTGTGTCCATTTACTACTTATATCATTTTTAATGTGTGGTTTGTTTTTTATTTAGAAAGAAAGTCATTTTAACTAATGGTAAGTTATTTAAGCTTTGCTTCGATATTAAATTCTATTTTATGATTAATAAAAATTATTAAAAAAATTTAAAATATCAATTATTAAAAAAAGAAATGGAAACCATGTGAAAATAAACAATTAACAGGTTTTTACTATATTGGAACAAACGAAAAAGCTGGTATCAAAATGAATAAAAATAAAGTTCAAATACTTGAATTAGAAAAATAAAAAAGTTGATACACCAACATTGCAATACTTAATAAGCATATGTCAGGATATCTAAGTAGAAAATGGAGCAATTAATGGAATGAAAGTACTTGATTGAAAGTTTTAATAAAGTTAGTGCTCTAAAATGAAAACAAAACAAAATCTTCATGCTCGATTGTGAAAAATATAAAGTAAGGGTGTTCCCAGCAAAAACGAGTTCCAGGTTGCCAAATTTGTTACACGTGTAAGGCAGTTCTTTTGCACGTGCCAGTAACACTTCCATTTTTTCATGATTTCCAAGGCAGGTCGAAAAAATTCTCCCGCACCGAAAAACCACAAAAAAAGTTAATATAACCGCCATTGATAATCGTAAAAATATAAATAAGAAACAAAGGAGAAATCTAGGGTTTCAATTTGACGAAATTGGATCAATCACATGGAAGGAGTGAGCAATGGAGGGATGTTGTACCACGAGGTACAAGAGGCAAAGCTATGCGCCGTACATTGTGTTAACACGGTGTTACAAGGACCATTCTTTTCAGAATTCGATTTGGCGGCGCTTGCTTCCGATCTCGATACGAAAGAGCGCCAGATGATGCAAGAGGGCACTGTCTCCGCCGCTGCTTCTGGTGATTTTCTCTCTGCCGAGTCTCATAATGTCTCCTTAGGCGGTGATTTCAGTATCCAGGTTCGTCGTTAATTAATTAGCAGTTTTGATTCGTTAATGAACTGATGCAAGAATTAAGAAATTAATTTTAAGGTTAAATGGAAATTTTTTTCTATGTTGTTTTGTTTTGGAGTTAACTTAAAGTTAGTGAAAGTTGAGGCATGATTTGTTATTATTGGCTTAGAGTTAACGAAAACACTTGATTAGTACTAGGTTGTAATCATGGAGATTTTTAAAATTTTAGCAATGACTTTGTGTTCAGTGGGGTTACCAAAACTGGGTAAGGGAGAAAGGAGGTTATTGCAAAGTTTGTGTTACTTTCCCCGTGGTTGAAAATTTGAGACATTTTGAGAGATGCATGTGGGGATAATGAATCATTTAGTTGATTAGTTAGCAAAGTATGTTTCTTGGGAGTATGAAAGTCAGGACTTAGGCTGATGCTTTGAACATTGAGCTAGTAATGGTGAAATATTGGGATGCATGGGGTGGATGGGCTACTCATCTTGGTAGGGAAAACATTTAAACTTAGGTGTTTGATTGATGGAGGTGGATGGATGCTTTTATAGAGCATGTGTAGCTTGAGGTGGGAGTTGGAGAGATGGTAAAGTTTTTGGCATAGATATATGGTTTAGCATCTGATATTTTTTAAATCTCTGAGAATAAACATGCGATTGTAATTAGTCTTTGTGGATAAAAGCTGTAATAGACTTTTATGAAGTGCATGTCATGGTATGCGTAAAAGATATGAGATTGAGACCAGCTCACAGTTACTATAACTGTGGCAACCCTACATTTGGCAATCTGAATCGCACCTTTCGGATTGCAGTACATTTATGCACTAGATCGAGGTGTTTTGTGTTCTGGATCATGAAAGTCTCATTTTTGGTAACCGAAATCTGTATAAATGGGAAAAAAATTGAGAACAAAACTCTGAGCTTGATTGATTTTTCTCAAAGAGCTGAGAGGGAGAGGCCATGAAGAAAGAAGTGAAATAGGAAAAAAAAATAAAATTCCCAGCAGCAAGAAACAAAGTAACATGCTTGACTTCCGTGGAAGAAAGATTTTGAGACGGATGTGATGTTGCAAATTAAACCTAATAACACGAGAAGTCTGGGCCTTAGAGAAAGGGACAAGTCTGGGCCATCAGTTTTACTTTGGCTAATATTTTTCTTCACACAGGTCTGGTTTTTAATTTAATCCGGTTCAACTACTTTATATTGTATTATTGATCGATCTGATTTTTTTGAAGCTAATGCTCTTTCTGTTCTATCATTTATTAGAAATGAAAACTGCATTTGTGTTTGATGTTTTCTTCCTTTACACTATTAGACCATAATGTTTCTGCTGTCAACAAACCAAAAAGATGTTCCAATTGTACCATGATTCAAACTAACATGTCATCTAAGCCTACCCCCCTACATACTGTAAATTAAACAAAGTGCATGTCCCATCCCTGAACCTTGTACCACAAACATATTTCTGGTACCTATGGACCAGTGAATAGTATGAAGTGGTGCCTGAAGGGCATTTGAGGCATTTTAATCGGTAAATTATGTGGCTACAATTCCTCTCAAAGTTTGTCTGTGTTCTTAACAGTATAAATCGATGAAAGACATATAACAACTGGTTCTGTGATGGAGGTTTATTGTAGGTTTAGATGAGGATGGATACCCATTATAGAGTAGAGATTAATCAGGAAAATGGGCATGTATAGTTTCACTGTAGGTTTTGTCATTCTGTCAGGCACTAATTCTCATTTCCAACTATTCTATCTTTGATACCATCTTTGTGTGTGAGCATCCGTACATCATGGGCAGTTAACATTCAATTTTTATTCTTTACATGAGATTCCTCGGGAAATTATTGAACTGGCATGCCCTCGTTGTAAATTCCACTCTTTTTCTCTAGTTCTATTTTACCAGTGATTTTTTTCTTATTATTATTATTAACCATGCATGGTCCATGTTGTTCATTAGTAAATTTTTTATGTAATCATATGAATGGACTTGCCTTTGAACCACGGACCGGTCTCATGCTTAAGAGATAATGCTATCAGGTTAACTTAAATGCATATAAAGTATGTTCCTTTTTTTTCTGGAGACTATTTCTTGGCATGTCTATGGAGTTGTGCGAACTCAACTTACTGTGAGGATTCTTGTTTGCAGGTTTTACAAAAGGCTTTAGAGGTGTGGGACTTGCAGGTCATTGCCTCTGATAGTCCGGTTGCTGAGCATGCACAGATTGACCCTGATCTAGAAAATGCATTTATTTGTCATTTGCATGATCATTGGTTCTGCATTAGGAAAGTGAATGGGGAGTGGTATAACTTTGACAGCCTCTACGCAGCTCCACAACACTTATCCAAGTTTTACCTTGCAGCCTATCTGGATTCTCTTAAAAACTCTGGCTGGAGCATTTTCCTGGTGAGAGGAAACTTCCCAAAAGAGTTTCCTATTGCTTCCTCTGAAGCTTCCAATGGTTATGGGCAGTGGCTGTCTCCTGAAGATGCTGAGAGGATCATTAAATCCGGCAACAACACGCAGTCTCCTCAGAGAATCAATTCCACTCAACAGGATTCTGACCCATATCAAGAAATTCTGTTAGAAATGGAGGACCAGGACATGAAAGCTGCAATAGCTGCCAGCTTGATGGAACCTTCCCAATCCATGAGCAGGGTGGAAACTGGCAGTCCTCAAAAAGACAATGAAGATACCAAAGATGACAAAAAAGATAGCGAGGACAAAAAGGCTCAATAAGAAATATTCTTTTGCATTTATTTTCTGTTAGTTGAGCAACAAGAAACCATTTCAGGGAGGGTTGATAGAACACATGGCAGGTCATCGTATTTATGCAGCACATACTTCCATTTTACTTTTTCTCACACCTTCAAACTTTTACTGTAAAAACTCTCAATCGAGAAGAAAGCTACCTGGCAGCTATATGATTGCATGGGTTCTCTAACAGGCACTTCTTGTGGCTGTTGTTTTTTTTATACCAAAACTCTTATAATTCTTGGGTGGTTGGCACGTCTAATTTTGTGGTTGGATAGTGCCCCTATGAGAATATGTGAATCAAGGGTTTTTTTATGGAAGAAACATGGAAATGTCAAATGCCTTGTGAGTCATGGTTACCGGCAACCCCCGTTGATCAGTTTTTCAGCCAGTTACTATGGCCAGTGGCACTTGTTAACCGCCATAGTCACCAAAAATCTGCCATGATTGTAGAGGGATGTAAGTACCCTGATTTAAAACAGCAAGGGATGGATAGTAAGGGTGATGTCTTTGTTTTCCTTCTACCCACGCATATGCTACCGTATGCATATTATATTATATTATCATACAATTAACTAAAACAAATTAACTAAAAAAAATACCACAAATTACTTTTTTTAAAAAAATTTATTAACACTTTTTTTTTTTTTATTAACGTGGGTGTCCGGGCCAGTTTACCGGAGTTACTATGGCCAGTGGCACTTGTTAACCGCCATAGTCACCAAAAATCTGCCATGATTGTAGAGGGATGTAAGTACCCTGATTTAAAACAGCAAGGGGTGGATAGTAAGGGTGATGCCTTTCTTTTCCTTCTCCCACGCATATTATCATACAATTAACTAAAAAAAATACCACAAATTACTTTTTTTAAAAAAAATTTATTAACACTTAAGTGCACTGTTGATTGCTAAGTTGATTTTGGTCTCTTTTTTTTTAGGTTCATGAACACTGATTTGTTTCAGCCACCAAATTTATATTTGTTTTTCAAATTCATCCTCCTATACTATATTCACATGGCTTTAAGCTTGATGTTTGGTTTCGGTCCACGTTTTATGTTGTATTTGTAATGTCAAAAAAACATATTGTCATTGATGCATAGTTTTGCAAAATAGAATTTAGTTTTGTCGATTAAAAACATTGAAATAACTAAGATAAAATTTAATACAAAAATAAAATGACAACCTTTTTTTCATTTTTTAATATACCATAGTTCATCCCTAGGGTTTTACTTTTTTAATTATGTTTTTTAGAGTTTTCTGTTTCAGTCTTAAATTTCTTTCATTTTATATTTTAGTCCCTGAAATTTAAGTGAAGAAAGAAAGTGATAAGTTAACTACATTTTATCCACCAAAAAGGTCGATTTTAATGATAAGGAGTTTATCTTAAAAAGAAAAGTTCAATAAAAATGAAGTTTCTCCTTGAACATGCTGTAAGAATTAAATTGAGACTCATTTAGTTTTTTTATTCAATTGGATTTTGATCTTTCAGAGTGATTATATTTTTTTCGTCATTTGAAATAAGTTTATTAAGGTTTCCATAATATTTTTAGGGGTGTTCAGTTAATAAAAGTTGAAAATTAAATTTTTAAAGTCCGAAAACTTGAATACAACTTCCTAATTACTATGAAAACTAGAAGATAACATGTTATATGTTATATATTATATATAAAATAAATAGAACAGATAACTTGTCGTCCACCAATTCAAAAAATAAAATGAAGAACATGCATATAGACCTGACCTTCTAAGCTCATGTGTGCCTCGCTTTTTGCTTAAATATTTCTTAATTTTTTATTTACTTTTCTTTTTTTGATAAAAAATTTTGAGTAAATTTTTAAAATAAAATTTAATCAATGTTATGATTATTCTATTATTTCTAAGAAGATAATGATTTTTTAATCATATATTATGTATTGCTTTATGAATAATTATATGTTAACATGATATGAAGAAATTTTTAAATAATTTGCTCATTAATATTGAATAAGAATAAAATATTTATTTTTTTAAAAAAAATTCTTTATTTTATACTCAAATTTATTGTTCTCACATTTTTTTTAATATAGGGACATAAAAATAATGGATTCATAATTTTTTTTTTATTTTTAATTAAAAATTATTTTCCTGATCATAATAAGTTCTTACTTAAGAAATAATGCTTCTCATAAAAAAAATGTTTTCATAAAAAAATACATAAATAAAAAAATTATATTTTTAATTAAAATAAAATGAAATTATTTAAAAAAAAAAAAATTAAATTGATTTTTAATTAAATTAACCGAGTTATTTAAATCAGATTAAATCACCTCTTATCTTATTTAATTTAAAACCCAACCTAAACAACAGATCAAATTTAATAACACTACTAGAACAATAATAAAAATTTAATAACGACATATCAAGTTTATTTTTGCCTATTTAGTTTTATATCTTAATGTTTCAATTCTCAAACTTTGTTTCCATTATGTTTTAGTACACTATTTACCCACTCATAAAAACATTGTTATCATAGAGGAATAGTGTAGCGTGTCAAGTGCACATTAGTCCCTGAATTTTTAATTTTTTATATTTGGATCCTGTAGTTTTATGCTTGACCCTCAAACTTTATCTTCATAACTCGCAAAGGAATTGTTACTTTAGGAGAATACTGCAGCGTGTCAAAATACACTTTAGTGGATGAAGTTTTTATTTTTTCACATTTAGTCCATGTAGTTTCATAGTTTTTATGTTTCTATCCTCAAACTATTTCCCTCTTACAAAAGCATTGTCACTGTGGAGGAATAATGTAGTGTGTCAAATACACATCAGTCCTTGGATTCTTGATTTTTCCATATATGGTTTATGTAGTTTTATGTTTTGGTCTTTAATTTTCATTTTCATTTTATTTTAGTCATTGGATTATGAAAAATGAGAGAAAAAGTCATAAGAAATAAAAAAAGAAAAAATTATAGTTTAATTAAATAAAAATTAGTTTTGAAAATGGTACCTTAAGGGTAACATCTAAGTGTATACTATATACCTATTAAAAAGAACTAAAATACCTTAAAAAATTATTGTAGCATCGCATCCATTATCAATGTTAATTGGAACAGTATAATATTGTTTGTTCTCTCCATAAAAAAAATCTTAAGATATATGTATAAGGATATTGAGGTATTTTCACATGATCTGTTTATCATTACAAAAAATAGCAGAAAAAAATAAATATTTTCTCATATTGATTGTATAATATAATGACTCAAATACCAATGAAAGGAAGAAAATTAAACCTAGCATCAAAGGGTGTTTTTGTATTTTCATAATAGTTTCTTGACTATTATATTTAAAGATGTGGGGTATAATAAACAATTAAAATGAATAGTAAAAATAAAAAAATACCTTTAAAATAAAAAAAATAAGTTTGAGTTTAAGGGGTGTTTTTGGCTTTTCATAATTTTTTTGATTAAAAACTCAAATTAGGGACAATTCTATATTTAGCTAAATATAAAAAAGATGGGTGTGCGTGTATGACACCTGACGGCTGGTGAGAGTGCTCCTTGAGCGGTGCATGCAACACCTCCCAGCATCTAAAAAATATCTTTTCATTATTTCATTGGAAACATCGTCATGTTCTCTTCCTGATGGTGTAACGCTTGTTTTAGGTGGTGCTCGAGTTTGAGGATGATGAGTCCTTTTCCTTTTTCTTTTCTCCTTCCTCCCTTCAAAATTATAGTTTAGCCCTCCTAGTTGTTTGATATTTCAACTTCAATTTTTATTCTTTTGATTTTTAATTTTTGGTCTTAGTCATTTGGTATAAGTTTTATTTGTTTTTAATTTTATCTATTAATTCAAATTTATCAAATATTATATTCTCTAACATGGTCCATATTCTTTGGATTTCTAATTTTTATCTTTGGTCATTCTGTAAACCTTTTAGTGGTTTTTAACTTATTCCTTCAATTCAAATGGATAGTATTATATTTTTTAATTTAGTCCTCGTTGTTTTCATTTCTAATTTTTTCTTGGTGTTTTTGTACATTTTTTTTAACTTTACCATTTTATCACAACATTTTTATGTTAATTTTGATTTCTGTTCTTTTTATTTTTTTTCCTTTTACTATATATTTTTTTAATTTTACTATTCAATTAAATATAAAATTTATTTTATATTTTAATCTTAATTTTCATTCTTTTAAATGCTATGGTTTTTTAAATTCTTTTGTATAACTAAAATTCTTTATCCAAATTTATCTTTTAATATTTGATTAATTAAAAATTAAATTTTATAATTTTTTTTAAATTAGATGCTTTAAGTTTAATAATTCAAGTAACGAGATTTTTCTAAAAATAAAAAACTTTATATTTTTTTTATTAGGTTATTTGAATTTTATAATTTAAGTTGTCGGTTTAACAAAATATCATGAATTGATTGAATTATAATTACTAAAATTACAAGTTTTTCATGACTTTTTTCATGTTATTCTTTACTTCAGGTATATTTAGGATTATAATAGTGATGGTAATTTAAAGTATTTTTTATTTAAAAATATATAAAAATAATTTTTTTATTTTTTGAAAATTATTTTTGACTTTAATGTATTAAAATAATAAAAAATTATTTTAAACAAAAAAATTTAAAATATAATTTAAACTACATTTGCAGACACATTCTGATATTTCCAGACGCATTCTGATATCAATATATAAATATTAATTTATTTTTAATCCAACGCCACAGCTAAGCACAATCCAAATCTATTATCCACTGTTATTATATACTTTATACACTAGTGGAAGAGTATAAAACAAAAGAGCTGAAAAGAAAGAAAGCTAGGGGCGGTCTGACGCTTTTAGGCTGGATGCTGAGGCCACCAACCGCATCTTTTGACAGCCTTCCATTCCATCGATGATACATCAGGCATACTAGTCCTACACTGGATTGAACCTCCCTGATCACCTGAATGAACAATAGAATACAATACAAAACGAAAGAAAAGGATATATTACTAGTATATAAAAAGGCTAAGAGGACCTTTTATTTCTCTCTTTTTTGAACATCATCTCAAAGATACCTGTTTTTGGTTTCTTTATTTCTTTTGGTGTTTAGAGATCTGAAACCGGATTCTATCTAAATGGGTTCATCCAGTCGATTGTTTAACAGACAAAGAACTGTTCATGAGATCTTTGGAGGAGGTTTTGGTAAGTGACTTTTTAATCCTTTCTCGATGATGATGATTCATATCTGCTTCATCAATTCCTATCATTAACTGCACTTGATTCCATTGGTGCAGTGGATAGACTTTGTATTTGTTTTCAGCTATTTAATTCTGTGAAGCCCTTTTCTTGTTTTGTTATCTTCGTAACGAAGGATTATAGATACTTCTTTGCTTCAATGGGTGTTATAATTTTTCTGTCAGTAGTTTTACTTGGTATATTTTTTGTTTAACAGTGGCGGATGTGATACTGTGGAGGCAAATGAATATTACACTTGGGATACTTCTAGTTACTCTATCTTCTTGGGTGGTGTTTGAGAGATCCGGTTACACTCTTCTATCACTTGTTTCTAGTGTTCTCCTCCTCCTTGCTGTCATTCTCTTTCTCTGGGCCAAATCTGCTGCAATTCTTAATCGGTACCTTCCAATGAAATTTTGATTCTTAACCATGATTAAAGGTTATATGGTGTCAGTTAATCCTGACCGATTTGAATATTCAACAATTCAATAAGATCGATTGCAAAAAATGTGGTATTTCGTATGCATTAAAACATTTTTTCAGAATTTTTCCTTGAGTTTTTTAACAATGCCGCTTCTCTGATGTCCAGTTAAGTGATAAGAAGTCGTAGGATTCACTCTAAGCGATGAAAGAACTAGGTTTAATAGGTGAATTTCAGTCACGGCCAAGGTTGGCATCAGTCCAGTGGATAGATGGCTATAAATCTTTATATGTTGGATGTTCACTCATAAATTGACTCCAGAATTAGTCGGCCGCATACATTTTCTCTTTGTCAATAGCAGAAAGCATGTCAGATGAAACCGAGGAGTTATTTTTCTCATAAGCAAATGGCATATGTATGATTTTGCAGAGATACTTTTCAGGGAATGCCATTGTTGTTTCTGGATTTGCTGGCCACTGAGTGTGATTCGTGATTCGCTTTAGAAGCTGCAGTTACTTCTGCCATTCATTTCGGCAAATTAACACATCTATAATAAATTTACCACCAAAATGAAATAATGACACTACCATTTTTTTCTACACAAATAACAAAATCATGATAATTCTGCATCCCGATCCTCTTAACATCTACAGGTGAAGTTCTCCCAAATCATCCCTTATTTTCATTTTAATGGAAGGAGAATGAGGACTATCAGTTTTTCAATTGAGTAATAATGAGTGTCCTAGATTTAATTTTCCAGTTTTAGAAAACTTGATGCTTTATTGGATTTTTTCCCATTGACCAGACCTGCTCCACCTTTACCACGGTTTCATCTGTCTGAAGAAACAGTGACTGAGGTTGCTTCTTTGATCCGCACTCGCTTGAATGCTTTGCTCTCAATTTCCCAGGACATTGCCTTGGGTAAGGATACAAAGTTGTTCTTGAAGGTAGCTGCATATCTGTTGCTGATATCTGTTGTTGGTGGCTTGACTGATTTTCTTACTCTGGGTTACGCCAGTAAGTTCACATCCTTTCTTCAAATATGTTCCTTATTTCCGAATCAAATTGAAAGAGAAAAAGAAATGACATTGTCCTTAGTACAAGGATGGACACTTTGAAAAGTGTGCATTCTTCATGTTCTCTCTATCTTTGTTCTCCGCAGTTATCTCTAAATCTACACATTTTTATGACAGGCCTTCTGATCGTTCTGACAATTCCAGCGCTCTATGAGAGATATGAAGATTATCTTGATAGATATGCAGGGATGGTGTTCAAGAAATCACACCAATTGTATCTGAAAGTTGATGTTGAGTGTATTGGCAGAGTCCAAAATTGGATTTTGGAGAGGCAGAAACTAAGTTGATTATCATTTTTCTTCTTATGGGATTTGTTATGTTTTGTGAGGTAAGGTGCCGAGGAGTGCTTAGGGTGGGCACCATGATCTATGAGCTTTGGGTGTGGGAGATTGCTCTTTTTTGTTTTGGTCCTTTTTTGAAACAATTTCTTTCCTCTTTGTACCTTCATTCCTAGCCGGAGTTTCTCGGCATCAATTGGAGCAGAAGAGACCCTGTATATCTCAGAAGGCAATATGGCTTTTTTTGCACTCAGCTACAACACTTTAATATATTCTCCCTTATTTTTATATTTATTTATGTGTTGGCACTAACTTTACCAACCACTATCGGCTTCACAAAGAAAAAACATTTCTTCAGGCCGTGTTTCGAGTCCAAAAGCTTCTTCAGAGGCAAAACACCTCAAAAAACCTCGACTCCTGCTTTTGATAGCCAATTGCATGTGTTGGCTATGCAGGTGGCGCAAAACTGCAGCCCCAAGCACAACCACAACCAGCACCAGCGGCGGACACCAACCTCGTTACTCGGAACTCCACGCACCGCGATATACCTCAAACAGAACTCTCAGGGTCTATAAATAACTCTAGTTACCATATACTTCCAAGAACGACTCTGGTGCTTGGCTGGAAGAAGCACTCTAGTTCCATACCAATATAGGAAATCGGGCCTAATTACTTATTTGATGCATAGGAAAACCACATCAATAATGGAGAGCTCTCTTCTATCGATTCCTTGCCAATATAGGACAAGCTTTCCTTTTTAACGAATTGCCCTAGTTTTTCCTACTGGTTATCCTGCCAACAATTCTCCTTGAGCAAAGGACTGCGCGGAAGAAGAGACATGGAGACTAGCAAGTCTAGAGGTAATGATAACAGTCGGTGCAACAATTGTCTCTTTGACTAGAAAGTATAGAAAACCATTATTGATATAACAAATATTTCTCTTATTTTCTCTCTCTCTCTATAGATGTATATGTGATAAATGTGTCATGCTACCATAGTTTTATTCCATTAAAAGACGAAGTAAGAAGAAGAATTTGGTTGGTAACCATCTAGGTGATGGCCAAGTGGTAAAGATTTGGGACTAAGAGATTTGCTCCCTCTATGGTCTCAGGTTCGAGTCCTTAGTTGCTCATATGATGGCCACTGGAGGCTTACATGGTCGTTAACTTCAGGGCCCGTGGGATTAGTCGTGGTGCGCGCAAACTGACCCGAACACCCACGTTAATTTAAAAAAAAAAGAAGAAGAATTTGGGTAAAAACTAATAATCATGATGGACACTATTAGCAACTAGTTCGATCAGTGTTCTTCAAACATGAAACCCTTTTTTAATTATTGATTTTAATTTTCTTTGTCAAAAAATAATTAGTAATTTTATGAATCGATCTTAAGGTTACAATTGGGGATGTTGGTGCCATGTTCTCCGTCTTTTTTAGCGTTTTGCTCTTGTTATTACTATTATTTTTTAGTAGAAAGTATAAAAACAATACTTAGTCTTTATGCAAGATATGATGAATCTAATATCTGATTTTTTTAAATAAAAGTTTTTAAAATTAATATTTATATAAATTCATATTATCTTGTGTTATTAATTAAATAATTAAATTTTAATTAGAATAAAAAAAATGACGGTGATAAAATTTAAACTCATAACTGTTTAGTCATTAAAATTTTGATATTAATCAAAGAATCATCTTAATTTAATAACTTAAATTATTTGATGAGTTTTCATGATATAATTTATATAATTTTATAAAATTTTTCAGGAAAAAAAGAAGCAGTTTCAAATCATTTTTTATGCTGCATCAATCCACAAAAAGATGTTTGTAAAAGTGTGTATAGAGAAACTCCAAAAGAAGTGCATTCCAATGAAGCAAGAACTTGTTCCGATCAAAAGAGTCAAGGTCATAATTCTACTATAGAAGAACTTATCGAAAATATGTTACCGCGAGTGTGGGGAAGCTTAAGAACATTTTAAAGAAAATGGGAGGATTATATATATTAGTTCTTAAGGTTTTCAAATTATTGTGATTCTTAATTTAAGCATAATATAAATATCTCATTTTTTTTATTAATTTAGTTACATTATTGGGCGTGCATGTCCATTTTATGAGTAGATAAGGGTTTCTTTTGAATTATCACCCCCAATCAGTGTTCGTCTTTTTTGATATTGCAATCCCTTTTGTTACTCAAGCACATTGTTATCCATAAAAACATATTTTGATGGATAGTTATTGATATTAAAAGAGGAGAGGAGCTAAATATTAAGAAATACAAAGATGATACAATTTTCTTTCTTTTTTCTTTAATTCACATGGTGTGTTCGAGCTAACTTAAGCGTACCTTGATTAATTTCAACAGGCCTGAAATTAATGACCAGGTAAGCATCCAATGACCATCAATATCATCAATTATAGGGCTCGAACCTGAAACCACAGGGAGAGCAAACCCCTTGATTCTAAACTATTACCATAGAGCCATCTACTAAATGGTTAATTCAATTTCCTTTTAGTTTGAGTTTGAAAGGAGAGAGATTCGATTAATATCATGATCTAGAGTTTAGGTTAATTGAGTTAACTTATAATTAACAAGTCCAATAACCTAGCTCGAGGCTTAGGTCAAGCTGGGATGGGATTCAAAATAGTGGCAGGAACACCATGGAATGAATGGATTTACTTGAAATGAAAAAGGTCTCGGATATAAGAATTTTTTATATCCAATATTAGTTATTGTATGTAGCCAGTGAATTTATCACTTAGATTATTTTTAGCAGTAGTGGCCACATTTCAAGTGAAGAGATCTCACCTCTTCCATTTCCTTTCCTTTCTTATGGCAGCTAGAAAATAAGTTATACATTTTAACAAGGTAGTTTTAACGATAGAAAAAGAAAAATGGTTTTTAAAATAAAAGTTGCAAACAAATGGTTATGATTATTTTAATATTTTAAATCAATTATTGATATTAAATCGGAAAAAAAATGAAACAACGAAGATCCTACAGATGTTTATATTGAATTTTATTCTCTTATTGATTATATCAAATCCAACTCTCTAAATTTTGCAACAATATTTGTTGTTGTTATTCTGTGTGATTAACATTAAATAAAGTAATTTAGAGTTCATATCAAAAGTAAGAAAATATATTACAAGGATGAGAGGGGACGATGTTAGTAGAAGTGATGAGAACTCGAGCCTTTATGGTGTGTTATTCAATGCTTATAGATTATAACATTTAGACACTGTATTTCTCCTCGATTAAGTGTTTTAAAATTTAGTAACAATCAATTTAGCATTCTAATGTTTGCACCATATATAAGAAATAGATTTTAATTTCAATTCTTTTCAAATAATTTTTATTATTTATTAAAAAAATTCATATCTAAAAAATTAATAAACATACTTTTTATTTATTAAATAATTCTTGTAGTAATTATTTTCATAAATTTGTTTTACATTTTCTATATATCCTTTTAATAGAATATGAACAAGAAAACCTAAAAAATGAGGTTAATCTATTATTAACCTTTTACAAAACAGTGTTCACTTTAACATTGTTTTTTCTTTTTAATTATATATTTTAATATTGTGTTTACCAGAGATTGAATTTTATAATTTGTTTCAATTTAATTTTTATGATGTTATTTTAGTCAAATGATCCAAGTTACAAGTTTTGAGTATTAACTTATGTTACCCAAACTTAAAGGGCATTAAGTGTGGGCTGAACGCCTAACTCAGGCGTGTTCCCCAGGCCCACGAGGTGCTAAACACACGATAACACATGAGTTCAAACACGTTACCCGAGCCCAAAAGGCATTAGGCATGGGTCCAGTACCTAAGCTTAGGCATGTTACCTAAACCCATAGGGTGTAGGGCCACACACCTAACACTTGAGCTTCGACATCATGCCCAGGCTTACAAGGATGATTGATATGGGCCTACTAATTGGGTCATGGTTATGATCTTCCAATCTATATTTTCAAAATGCAAAATGAGTTTAGGCTAACGAAGAATATTTTTCTAAAAAATATCAATAAATTTTAATCCATTAGTAGCCCTTTAAGTTTTTGTAGTATTTTTACGAAGACACTAAAAAAGTGGTATTCTTACGAAGACACTTAAGAATATATTTATTTTCTTTAACGAGGTCCTTAATATTTCTTGGTATAAGAAAAACAGGGTTATTTCAAAATACTTTGTAGGAGTACTTACGTGTGGTGTGATATTATAGCTGAAATAATGTTTATCTTAGTTGGAAAAATACTTGGGGGAACACTTTATGACGGTATAGGACATCATGGACTAAACAATACCCAGCTTCTTGCCTAATTAGCATGATAACCTTATTTTTATTGGAAAGTATCTTCCTGGTTAATAGGTAATTCCTCACAGGTTTTCTCCAATCTTTGTCGAGGGTGATTGGGGCGATCATGAGTCCTTTCCCCCCCACACTTGGCTTCTTAAAAGTTTCAATCCACATGTTCAGATGGATCTTTATTGAATTGTAACTTGCAAGTTTAAATAGAAGGTATGCCTGATTGTTGTCCTCCCTTGGATAATGGTGATTTCCTTACCTTCATTTTATTTAGAAAAATAATCTTGGATTTTTTTAGAGATACTTGAGCATGGTGGATTCTTTGACCTCATATATCCCTTTATATTGGCCAACAATCAACTGAGAGTCGTTATGAATATGAAGGGGTAAGCATTTAAACCCTTTACAAGTCCTAATCTGGCTAAAAGGGATTCATATTCTAATACTTGTTAGTAATTAGAAACTCAAAACAAACTTTATATTCAAAATCTTATCCCTCTAGACTTGTGAGCATTATTAATATACCATTCTCTTCAATATTAAAGAACTCATCCATAAATAACTTCCATGTAGGGGTTGATATGGTAGATTTGAAACTATTAGCTCAGTAAATGGTGTTTAAAAGCTTGATAGAGTTTTGTATTAATAAAGTATGGGCTCCTTAAAGGAGTATTCAACAATAAAGTCTACCAATATTTATCCCTCTATAGTCAACCTTTTTCAATATTAGAGACCAAACACCCCCAGCTCAATTGCTCAACTCACTAAGCATCCTCACGTATTAGGCTTGTGAGGAACTTGCTAAAGAGGTTGATTTATTAAAACTCTGATTTGGTAAGCTTGGAAGTTAAGCTTCAACTTTTTTAGGCTTGAATCAAAGCCAAGGCTACTTTTCTACTTTCAAATATCTTGTCCCAACTTATTAAAGGATCTTGCTAAAGTAATAAACCAGACACTAAATTTCATCCTCCTCTCTTACTAGCACTATGCTACTAATAGCCAAGTTTGTTATACCTCAATAGAGAAAAAGATTCTCATATGTCTTTAGTTATAATAAAACCATGATAGATAAGAGGTAGAATTTAAGTCCTTCGAAGACCTCCTAACACTCAGATGTCCATTCAAAGCTTTAAGTATTTTTTAAATTTTTTAAGAATGGCAAATTATGCTCCTTAAGATAACTAATAAAGTTATTGAGGGTGAATGACCTTCTTATGAGGCGCTGAAATTCCTTTATTAATTATGAGGGAGTCATGTTCTGTATGGCTTAAATTTTTTTAGGAATGGACTTTATCCCCTTGCTACTCAATAAGAATCTTAAAAGCTTTCCTCTTTTGATGAAAAATACACATTTGAAAAGATTAAGCTTTATTTGATATGAGTTTAGTACAGAGAAAACCTCTTCTAAATCTAGAAGATGTTGCTCAACATCATGTTCTTTACCAATATAGCATCCACATACTCTTCTATAATCCTTCTTAATTGATCCTTTAACACCTTATTTACCATTCACTTGTAGGTGGCTCCGATATTTTTTAGACCAAAAGGCATGACTTTATAACAAATATCCCTTCTCGATTATGAGTGATATCTTCTCTTCATCAATCAGATGCATATTGATTTGATGATACCCAGAGTTAGCATAGAGAGGGCTAAAGGATTTAAAACTTGCGGTAAAGTCCACCAATATATTAATTTTAGAGAGAGAGGAAAATATCTTCGTTCAAGCTTGTAAAGTCTACACACATGCGCTATTTGGCAACCAATCAAGGAACATCACCTCACAATTAAATCTAGCAGCAAGTAATTTCTCCACCTCATCTGTTATTGCCCTTTTTTTCACCCTCGAAACTCTTTTCTTCTTCTTCTTTTGATGGATAAGGGAGAAAGTTGGTCAACCTTTAGTTGATGTGTGGTTACCCTAGGGCTAATCCTGGACATGTTTGTATGCCTAATGGAAAACTTGATTTTTTAGATGTTAAAAAGCTCTATCAAGGCTTACTCTTGTCTTAGGTTTAAAATAAACTCCTATTTTCATAGTTTCCCTCTCTCTTTTTAGAGACACATCCTTTAACTATTCAACAACCTTTATCTTTACTTATATTTTTTCTTTCTCAAAACCATGTTGATCCACTATTAGGGTATTTTTGCCTTTTAAACACGAAAAAGCACATTGTTTGGAAGACCTTTAGTTTTTTTGTACTGTAGCTACCCTTCTATAAACGAGGAATTTCAAGGCTAAATACTTTGTACTAATAACTATATTAATTTAGTGGAGAAGGGGCCTTCTTATAATGATGTTGTAAGCCAAACTCATATCAATAACCATAAAGGTTTGTCAGAGAGTTAGGCATTTGAGGTAGATATTGATAGTAATAGGGATCTTTAAGGTGCCCTTCACTGGCATGCCTAAACCTGTGATCCTAATAAGAGAAGTCTAAGTATCCTTATTTATGCCATCACATCACTAGATATGATATTAATTGCACTATCATAATTTACCGACACTCTATAGACATATTTGTTGGACAAAATAGTTAAGATGACCAGAGCATCCTCATAAGGAAAAATCACTCCTACCCCATCTTTTAGGGTGAAGAAAAAGCTCATGCTATATGTTTGGTAGATAAGAAACAATAAGGACTTACTTCTCATATTTTGTTTTTCTACTTCCATTATTGCTCTCTACAGAGGTGTCACGTAAAATCACATTGATCTTTAACGGTGCTTGGTTATGCTAGCTAGTCTCTTTTATGTCTTGTTCAATATAGGTGTCCCCTTTTATAAATTATTGGATATAACCCTTGGCTATTAGCCATTTGATCTCCTTCTTTAAGGCAATGTATTATTCGATATCATCTCTTTATCCTAATAAAACATATAAAATTTTATGGAGGTGTGAGTGTAAGGAATTATTTTAATTGGTAAGGGATATTGGATAAATTCTTTACCCTTAATAACAATAAAAACTTCAGTGATGGTTTTGTTAAGAAAAGTAGAAAATTTACAAGGATATGTTGAATATTAATGAGTTAACCCTTTCCTATTATTCCTTAAGCTTCAGTTTATAATAAGAGAGTGATTAAGCTTAGAAAGTTTGTCTTGTTGACTTTTCTTATAAAATCAAGGTGATTTATGCCATATTATACTAGCCTTTTCCATCCATAAATGATTCTTTATATCTTGCTTCACCTTGAGCAAGCTTGTATCTAACATAGTATAATCTCCCACCATAAAGCATGTTCCTAGGACTTATTATTTATAAGCTTAGTTCATCTTGATTGTTTTAACTACAACTCCAGGCTTGTTTGAGCTTAATAGTTTGTTTAGGATTTCAGGTTTAATCATCTGTTTTGGGTTAGTTTTGTGAGTAGGCTAATTTAGCCTGCAAGGATAGATCCATTAGGATTTTTATTTTCAAGAGTATAAATATTCTTTGTAATGACAAAATATTAGGACTTGATAATACCATTGTTGTTGAATTTATTCATATTGTGTGAGAAAAATTCTTGTATTATTTGGCTCTCTAATGAACTAAATTGACTTATCAAAGATTAATTAACCTCGTGGCATCTTCCTTATATTTCTACTTCGTGAATTGATATTTGTAGGGTAAGAATTCTTATTTTGATAATATTGGTGTCTTAGAATGGATTTTCATTATGTCATACTATTATCAAACCTATTTTGGCTTTTCAGAATTCATTATTAATCTTGTTGTGGGTTTCATAACCTCATGATTATGAGATTCGCATCACATGCCCAACTTTTAGGCTATGGCATCATGCCCAAGCCCATATAGGCATTTAGTATTGGATAAGAAATTAAGCTCATAACTATGATCTAGGCCTAATCTATGTATTCAAAGCCTAAAATAGGCTTGGGCTACCTAAGAATATTTTTCTAAAAAATATCAATAAACCTTGATCCATCAATTGGTTAATCTGATCAATTCATTAATGGTCGACAAGTATGATGGTTTTAATGATGATCTTGCACATATTTTATGTGTATCTTATGGGTGACTTTAAAAATCCACGCTAATCAACTTGGTTTACAGGTGTGGTTCTTGCTATATTAACCGCATCATTTGGTAAGAATTTCATGATTTGGATCATGGGTTTAACAAGCTAACCCGAGTTTACTTGAATCTTTTTTTGTCCTTTTTTAATTGATTTTTTTTCAATTTCATCCTTCAATATTGGGTTGATTGAGAATTGGACATCATAATTTATTTTGATTTACTTTCTATGGAATTATTATGGTCTTATGATTCAAGTAGTGGTTTTGGTGGGTTAACTCAGGTTGACTTGAGTCATTTGTTTTGTGTTTTTTTAATTAAATTTTATTTTAATTTCATCGTACAACATTGGGTTGATTAGAGATTAGTTTTAATAATTTATTTCGATTTACTTTTTATGAAATTATTAAGGTCTTATAACTAAGGTTGTATATTTGGCAGGTTAACTCAAATTGACTCGGGTCAATCTAATATATTATTGTCATAATACTTAAAAACAAAGATGTCTTGAAATTTCTTTTGAATTACTTTATTTTTATATAAGTCATTTAGGTTGTATTTAAACTTGCCTAGTCAATCAAGTCATATTGGATCAACTTTTATATTGTTTAAAATTCTCTTTTTACTAGAAAACACATTAATAATGTTTAAACATTTTAAATTTTTTTTTTGATCAAACCTATAACATAGTATTAACTATTATGACTAGGAAGTGGAAGGACGGGTAACAAAAAATTATTTAGGTAAATTTGATTTAATCGATTAATAAAGGGTAACATTGTTAACCAACATATTCATATAAAGAATTTTAAAAAATAATTCAAAGAAAAACTTGGAAAAGTATTCAATAAATTATGGTTGCACAGTAGAAATTTCATACTGGGACTAAATGAATATGTTAACTCACATGGATTTTTTTAAATAAAAAAAATTCTTAATTTATTTTGTGATATATCCTTACGAGAAAAGGGAATAACAACATCATTAATCCTTGAGGTATTACATTTATGTCATATTAAACCTTATGGTATCATAAATGACAATCGACTTCTTATACTTTATATAATGTGTTACTTAAGATCTTTCCATCAAAACTTTGTTAACTTCTTCTATTATGATATGAATTAAGGAAAAATTAGGACACAGGAGTCACAACTCTAAGTTGGTGTTGCCGTTGGCACACTACCTTTTTTCTAATAACACAGTATTTTCTAGTCAATGGATGTATATAAAATAAAATTTAAATCAACATTAATTAATTTATAAAATTTATGATTCATATCATAAAATTAAAATAATTTTATAAATAATAAATTAAAATAAATTATAAAATTTAATATCTAGTAAATCTATTATTGAAGAATAAATTAAAAAAAATAACTTTTCTTTTTTAAATCTTAGCATTGAATTGGTGAACAATAAAAAGTAAATGTTTTGTTTTTGTATTATTCATCTCTTTCGCTAATAAGGTGCTTAACTTATGCTTCGTTACAAGTTAATTTAGTATTGTGATAATATTTGTTTTTTAAAATATTTTTTAAATTTTTTTATTAAAATAATATATTTTTTATTTTTTAAAATTTATTTTTTATATCAACACATCTAGAAAACTTAAACACACTAAAAAAAATTAATTTCAACTAAAAACATTGTTACACCGCGAAGGCATATATTTACTTCATAGCCCCGTGTGAAACTTTTGTCCACCTTTTTGATAATTCTAGTTTTTCTCATTCTTTATTTTGATGAATTAAAAAAAAAAATCTATCTCCAATGCTAAAGCATATGAAGGCTAGAAACAACGGCAACAATTTCAGTCTATAAGCAGCCCAAGTTCAATCCACTAAGCAAAACGATTAGTACCCAAGAGGGTGAATGGGGACAAGTAAAAATAATTGAGTACCAAAAAGATCACCAATCAAATTATTTCAAAGCATTTTGAGTTTCTATAATCTCCCTTGCAGGACTCCTCATCTAAATAAGAGAAATGACAAGGGCAGATAGTTAACTTATTGTTCTCGGGACTCCTTCCATCTTCTCCACGCATTTTAGCCTTTTCCATCATGTTCAAGCTCGAGATGATTCTAAGCTTCTGACAAATTTCTTTGCCTGACATGTATAAGAAGAGTAAACTTTGAGCCACAGAAAGTATTTAGTAAACAAAAGACCAAATGCGTGCCTGCTGAAATTAGTTAAACAATCGATCAAGCATGCTTGAAGACACAGGGAAGAAAGACAGACCGGAGGAATTTGAATGCAAGTGTACAGACCAGATTATTAAAAACAAAGTAGAAACGGAGAGAACTAAGCTCTTAAAATGGAGAAACATAATACTACGTGGAGAAAGAATTTGAACAATCTGTACCTGTTCTAAAGTTAGAAACATTATCACGTTCCAAGATCCCAGCCTTCCAAAATTTGGAATAAAGCCCTTGTAGAAAGCAAGTGGGCCCTGGAAATAACATCTGATTCTTTAAGTTTTCCATAGTAAAATTTACTCTGAAAACATATAATAGCTTAGAATATCCATACAGAACAAATACTACCGCTTAAAGTTAAAAGGCAGAATAATGCTGGCGATGTAAACTAGTTTGCTGGATTTCTTTCATTAAATAATACATGGACATCCGACAGGAGATCAGTTAACTAATTAATTTTGATTAAGGTATCTATGGAACAGATATGTTAAGGCCATGTCACCATGATTTTAACAACTTTCCTATGTTCTGCTGACAATAGTTAATGATTATTACCAAACTTCTAGCGTCCTCGCATTGCTCAAAACATAAAACAAAAGGTACTAGCACTTACTTTATGCTATAGCTATAGGCAAAGTCATTTTTATGTCAATGGCTAGAGAAATAGTTTTCCTATCTAAGAGAGAGATATAAAGTTGAAAGGTAAGCATACATCATTCTTCAAGGTCTTGATGAAACAGTCAAGTGTGTTTTTGTAAGTAGAATCCCCCATCATTCTTGACTTGACCTGCAAAATTAAATTTAAAAAGGAGCTAAAAAACAATAGGCGTTAAAAGGAGCCATCCTTCTGAAATACTTGACAGGAAAACAATTAACATGTTATCGACCCTGATGTTTATCAACAAAAGTTACTAATTGTATATAGATGCTGGTTAATTTTGAGCGAGAGATAATATGAGCACTGATTGCATAGGCTATCCTTATCTTGTGAAAAACTAGAGAGTTCATAAGGATATAGATGGTTTACCACATCAACAGGGGAACCGATACAAACAGCAAAAAAACCCGCCCCCAGACCAGCAAAAAGATGAGTGACAACATTGTCTGTGAATCCAGGAATTTTCAAAATTGTCTGCATTGAATTGTAAAATTAGAAGTGGTACAAAACATTCTATGCAATTGAGAGAGAGAAAAAAGGCATCAAAATTGTTGCATGTTGAGTGTACCTCCTTCACTTGATCATAGCTGGCCAGTTCGGCAGCATTTATAATAGCATTTCTTGCTATATTGGGTCCAATCCCAGTCCAGAGTGCCCCAACTCCTTCCTGAATATTAGAAAACCAAGTAAAAACAGGCCGACTAATATAAAGGTTATATTTTTAAATTCTCTTTATCCTCGTCTAGATACACAACCTGTCTCACAATCGTGGAGTACGCATTCAAAGCTCCAGAATAGCGCCTTGGTACACCGGCTGGTAGTTTCCCTTCAGCCTGAAGTCTAACTTTCACAAGATCAGTTGGATTTGCCACAGCGATTCCAATGGCACCTGATTGATGAGACAAGTACATCAACAACACAGAAAGAAAGCAGGCCCTCTGGCAATGGCATCAGAATCAAGAATGAACGTATTGGTTAAAAAAATTTTCTTTCAAGTTCTTCCAAAACACTGGCAAATCAAGCTCACCGGTAGTAAGTGCAGCAAGAATCTTCTTGGTCAAAGGAACATCTCCAACAAAGTCACTGCCCACATACAAGTTCTTCACCTGACAACCACCATGGATTTTCAAATGTCACAGTAATCAGAAACCAAACAGAACATATAATGAAATAAATATAACTACTTCACAATGAAAGAGCATTTAGAAACCCACAGGTTCATATAACCCAATCCGTAACCCTCCATAAACGCATTGCCGATGCAATCCGGGTACAATTCCTTTCCAGAGCGCTGCCAAACCTTCTTCCCTTGCAATGGTAGCAACCGTGCCCAACATGCCCCTGTATTTTGGCAAGGCCACTCCATCTCCTGCAACAGCCGACTTTTGTAACTGCAGCCTAACTTTTGCAGTGTCCAATGGAATTGTGCATATCTACATTAATGGATAGTTAGCCTTAATCAATTCTCTTTTCCGAATCTTAACACTTAGCAATTTACTTGCGTGGGATAATAAATAAAGATACGGAAATCCCAACAATTTAATTTAGCAGATAAAGCATAGAAACAGCATAATTCAAGATACAATCTGCATGAGAATGACTTCCCAGTACCATTTAATTTTCAACTAACAAATCAAATCAATTGCTGGGGATGATAATATAAAGAAACCAGATTTATATTAAATGAAAAATGTGATTTTAAATTTTTTTAAAGCTAGTCTTTAATATTAAAAACCACTTTTAAACACTCTACTAAACATTATAAACACGAATTTAACATTAAAAAAACACTTCTAATCAACTCATAATTTAATTTTTTAGATCCAGAACTTCATATTCATGTAAAGAAAGTTTTTATTTGATGATGATCTTGTTCCGTAATTTGGCCGGATTAGACATTTTCTTATTCTTCTCTCTCATGTTTACATTTATTTAATTTTTCATGATTTTTGCTTCATATTTTGCTAATTTTCAAACATATAAATTAAGTTAATTAAAATAAATGGTATTAGAAATTAAAATTAAGAAATGTTTAAAAGGCCATTTGTGGGGGCGAAAAATTAAGTGGTTGTCTTTTTCTTTAATTAAAGATTAAAAGGATATATCTGAGAGTACACTGACGATTATAATTTAAAATATATTTTTTAAATATATTAAAATAATATTTTTATTTATATCTTAAAATTTATTTTTATATCAATATGTTAAAACAATCTAAAATCATGAAAAAAAATAATTTTAAAAAAAAAAATTTAAATTTTAAAAAAAAAATTGTATAAAAACTATCCACGAGACACAAAAACCTAGTCATCTCCGTCTCTACAAGTAAACGTGTTTATGTCAAAGTCGTATTCGATTTTTCCTGTTCCATAACAGTAACTAAAGCAAGGGTGTTAAAAGGACAGATGTGGCTTTCACTAAAACATCAAAACATCATCAGAAGTTTTATTCAGGACCTATAATTTCCTTAAAAAATATTAGATTAGGCCATACATCAAATTATTTTAGGCATAAAACATGATCAAATCAAGAAAAACATGGCCAGCCAAACAAAGAAACTGGGACCAATTCATTGGAACAGTATAGTTACCTCAGCAAAACATGCGGCGAAAGCACTGCTGGCAAAAGTTCCGGCGAAGGAGATATCGGATTTGCCTTTGGAATCGGCCACCATCTTTGTTGTGGTTCAGCTGGATGGAGCAGGAGACAGATGATGATGAGGGCCGTGAAAGGAAGATAGAAAAAGGACTCACTGACTATATATATATATAGAAGGAGAAAAGGGGAAAATGGAGAGCGAATTTTGGGAAAAGTGACCAGAGAACACCACAGGTTGTGCAATTGGATTGGGACCTTTTTTGTTATCTTTGCCTCTCCTGTAATGTCCCCCCTTCTGCTCTTCATCGTCATCCCTCGTTTATAATTTCGTAACCCCCACAGCACTACCTGCTACTCGCCTCAGCCTGCCAACTATGGAAATTCTGTTTTAACTCCTTATTTTATTTACATGGAAAAAAAAATCTTTTACGTTTTATCATAGGATAGCCATGAAGGTATTAAAATTACAATTAAAAAAAAAATTTAAAGCCATGTTGGAAAAAAAAATATAATTTTAATTTACTGATATAAAAAATAAAAAAAAGTTATTTTAATATATTTTTAAGTAAATAATATTTTAAAAATAAATTATATTACATTCTCAAATATCCTCTAAATAGGATAAAAGTTATTATAAAATTGACTTAAAAAAATTAGTAAAGATATTTTTTTGCTTAATGAAATTATTATTTTATTGTTGAAAGTAAAATAAAAATATTTAGCTTTTGCTAATGGTTATGTGTTTCCTACAAAATTAAAATGGATAATGAAGTTATCGTCATACTTTTTAAAGGAAAAAAAGGTTAAACATGCCAGAAAGAGGTTTCCTTTTCCTTCCCTTTTTGTTTAAACAGTTTAATAACAAAATTACCTTTCAAATCCACAAAAAAACTAATGCAAGTTTCAAGGGCGTTTTTGTTATTTCATTTTGGTTTTTTTGTTGTTATTTTGTTGTTATTTTTAAATTTAGTTTGTTGTTATTTTTAAATTTAGTTAGGGGCTATTTGATAATTTTAAATAATTAAATATTATTTTTTAAAAAAATTATTGATACGTGCAGAGTTCGTTTGATTACCAAAATCCTCTATTTACATTAATGTTAGAAGCAAAGAGTCATTCTCTTTTTGGCGGTGAGTTGTGTGCTCACAGTAGGAGTCCAGATAGGCTGTGATAAAGTTTTTTTTTTTTCTTGTTTTATCTTCTTGCAGCAGTTTAAAATTCACTTCAGCCCTTCTAAAAAATAATTTTATCTTCCGGTTTGTGCTTATATCGATGTTGGTTTTTATTATTTTAATTATTATTTATTTTGTTTTTAATATCTCTTGAAGGTTAGTTATTTTTTTTTTATATTTAAGCATTTTATTCCATTTAGTTTTCGTATCCATATATATTTGAGCATTTTATTCCATTTAGTTTTCGTATCCAATCTGGTTTACTTTCTTTCGATTGTTTTTTTTATATTTTTATTGATTTATTTTTTTTAATTTCATTTCTCACTATTTTATTGCATTTATTTTTTAATTCAATTTTGATCTTTATTTTTTTATTACTATTTTCTTATCCTTTTCTTCATTTATTTATTTTTGATTTTTTCCTTTAACATTTAAGTTCATTTAGTTTTTTAATCTAATTTTGATCCTTATTATTTCGATTAAATTTTTTTTATCATTTTCTTAATTTATTTTGTTTTTTAATTTATACTCTAATTAATTTCTTTTATTTTGTTTATATATCATATTTGTTCTATAATATTTGGGTTTTAAATTATTTTACGATTATAAATTTTAATTTGTTGTTTTTTTTATAATTGTTTTCCTATAGGGTAATTTCAACCTCATAACTGAAGTCGATTTAAGTTCGGTCTTTTTTTGGGTCCTTTCATTAAAAATTGATATATAGTTTTTTTTAAATTCATCATTTGACATTTACTTATTAAGTCCTTAACAACTATTTATTTCATTATCCTTTTTGTTGAGTTGTCCCAATCTCATATTATAGTTAACCATGGTTGACTTAATTTTTTTTCCTCAAATTTTTTTATGAAATTGATTTTTTTTTTTTTTACAATTTCATCCTTTGACATTAAATTATTAGCCCTTGAGCTATGTGATTTTTCTATTTTTTTTATTGGGTTATTTTAAATGCAAGTTAGTCAAGTTAACTCAGGTTATCACGAGTTTTTTTTCTCAATTTTTTTTTTAACTTCGATCTTTTTTACTAGATCTTTTTTTTTTTGAAAGCCTAATTGTTTTATTCTGATCTCATATCATCGATGACGAGTTAGTTGAATTAACCTAGGTTAACTTAGGTTTTTTCTCCTAGACTTTTTTTGTGACACATTGTCTTAATTAAAGGTAACAAACAAGTAGATATTGGGTATAACATAAAATATATAAAGTTATTTGAGTAATCATTAAAGGATTCATTACCCTAATTGAATTAGAAGAAAAACAATTCATCTATTTTCAAATAGCACTGATTGTGAAATCATTGGTCAAAGAGGAAAGAGATTTGAAAAAAGTTTCAAAGTTTCAAATTTTATTCAAAGAATTAATGACTATACTATTCAGAACTAAAATAATTTAACAAAGCAACGTACTCCATACTATAATGTTTAAATTAGAGCATTCTTGATAAAGGAATAATAATTACATTGAAAAACTAGTCACTGAAAAATTAAGTCAAACTAATTATAATTTTTTTAATATTTGAGGGATCGTGACAGGTTATAAGATATTGTACTTGGTTTTTAAATATAAATCAATAAAATATTAAATTAATAATAAATTTTAGGATTATAATTTATATTTAGGCCAACTTATTAGAGAATATAATGGGTCACACACATAAGAATCATTGGTCAGAAATTAAAATGAGATGATTAATCAAATGTGATTTAATTTTAAATAAATGTTAGAAATTAAGAATTAGAATGTAATTAATATAGGGATTATAATTCTAGACCCAGAAAAAATCAAGTATGGACTTGAGTGAATAAATTTCTAAAATTATTCTAAAATAATATATATGATATTATTTAAAGAAAAAATTGATATATTATAATTTATAAGGTTTTTAGATTTTTCTGTATATAAAATGTTATGCCTCTTATTTTCTATTTTTTTAAGATAATAATGTACAAAAACACCTAAACACAAAAGAAAAAAATTAACATTAAAAAGTATAATAATCCCTCTCACCTAAAAAAATTTAAAAGAGTTTTTACTAGTGATTTATATGAATTATCATTAAAAACTAGACACTTGAAAAACTTGTGATTTAATACAACATAGCCTTGAAATAATCATTCAAAGTAAAAAAAATTTGATTTCCATATAATTTTTATATAAATTTTAAATAACTCTAGATGTATTTAACTTAATACTTAAAACTCTTTAAAAAAATTAAATTTACTATTTTGATGCTATATGTAAATATTTTAAAAAACCCAACAGTTAGCTACCTTGTATTAGCCAGAAGATTTAGCTTTGATATTATTATTTTTTTATTCTTTGTTGAGTTTTACGCAGCAAGTTTGATACATGTAAATCCTTGATGGATGATCGAAGCCTTCGAGGATATTTTTATAATTCAAGAGGAACTTTTTGAAGTGAGCTGAAATTTATAATTCAAGAGTAGTTAGTCAAAATGTTATGAGGTTGACTGGATAGAGTAAGAGATTATCCAGAATCTTGTCACTGTTATCATCCTGAAGGAAGACATGGTGATTTAATTATAAAATAAAATAAAAACCAGAATTTATCCTCAATGAATTTCTTGCTTGTAATGGCTTTTTAAATGGGAAAACCAACTCAACAATGACTAATGAGCAATATCTCTAGAGTAAGATAAGGTAGCATTCCAGTGCTTAGCCTAGCGATGGAAAGGGCTTGTCTCCTTCCACTGCACCATATCAATTAGGTCACCAATCTTTTTTTTAATCTTGATTAAGTCCCTAGTATATGGATAATATATCAGTCAAATCTCTCTACCAATTGTAACTAACAAAATAAACTCAACTAATTCTTTTCTTTTCATAAAAATGATTGAATATTATAAAAATTCATCGGGTAATACACCACCCCTATATAAATAAACACAAAGCTTTTATGTTCTTTGTATAGTATTTTACATCGTATAATGAGAGGAACACCAATTTTTTTTTTAATCTTGATTAAGTCCCCAGTACATGGATAATATATCAGTCAAATCTCTACACCAATTGTAACTAACAAAATAAACTTAACTAATTCTTTTCTTTTCATAAAAATGATTGAATATTATAAAAATTCATCGGGTAATACACCACCCCTATATAAATAAACACAAAGCTTTTATGTTCTTTGTATAGTATTTTACATCGTATAATGAGAGGAATTTTAATAAATTAATGTGTTATATATATGTATGATAAAAGAGAATTCATGTGGGTTTGTAGTGGCTGCTACGTATTCCATATTTTATTACATGAAACAACTAAAATATTAATTAAAATATTTCAAGTTATGGGATGATTAACCTAGCTAGTTACGTATAAAACCAACTCATACTTATATTTTGATTAAAATTGTTTTTAAATAATCTTAATTAGTTTCTCTTTAACCCCATATGAATATATTTATATATATAGATTAAGTTTTAGATATATAAAAAAAAGGGTTGAAGATTACAATTAAAATGCATGGAGACTTATTATGCACCTATAAATAAAATATTATTCATTGCAACACTAAAATTATCATTTCTTCCTTTAAAAACAAATTAATGCCATGGTGTTAAGGATGGAATGGTTTTTCCACAAGAGTTTATTAGTTATTATGTAATTAATTAAGGACAAATCAATATTTTTATCTTTCAAATAACAATATAATAACTATATTATCCTTATTTTTTTTTTTAAAGGTTGCATGATTGAGGGTGGTTAGGTTTTAAGAGACCATTTTTTTCTTTTTTACCCTTGCCAAAATATAAATGTGTCATTTAATTTGATTTTTTTGTTATTTATTTTGTTTTTTAGTCTTATAGTTTTTATTGGTTTTCTTCTTCAATTTCACCCCTCATCATTTAGTTAACATTTTGATTATTTAGAATTTTAGCATTTTTATTATTTAGATTTTTTTTTGTTATTTTTTTTCCTTTTATAGGGGTTAGTTTCAAATTTATGATCAAGATTAATATAGGTCAACTTTGATATTTTATTATGTTCTTTTCAAAAATATATATATATATATATATATATATTAATTTTATTATTTATTATTTAATTTATTAGGAATTGATCTTCTTGCTTTTTTTTTTTAATTTTTTATAAGGTTATTTCAAGTATGTGTTTATAATCACAAAGTTAGTAAATTAACTCGAATTAACTCAATTTATTTTATATTTTTTTAGAAATTTTTTTAATAATTGAATTATTTTATTTTTAATATTGAATTATTTGATATGCTAATCTTTTTCATAATTTTTTTATTCAGTCCTCAATATTTTTTTAACCATATTATTTAAATTAATCAAGTTTATTAAATACAATCAAATTAACAACATAGTTCTTTTTTTATTTTTGTAGAAACACTTGTGTCACTTTTAGCATCTTTATTTTTGTAAGGTGGAGAAAACTTGTGTCAGTCCACGGCATAATAGCACGTTCCCCAATCTACTCTAATCTATATTATGCCTTTATGAACCACTGAGGGCTTTAAAAAGAGGTTTGCCCACTAAAGTTTTCACTACTTGCAAAATCGAATAATAAAAAAAGAATAAACTTACTCTCCTTTTTACATGTGAAGGATTATTTGCTATACCGACGCTCGTTGCCTTTGGTTGTGATTTTTGAAACATTCGTTTTAATACTCTTTAATTTTACTAGTTCAAATTTAACCTCTTCTTTTCAGATATTTGCCCCCCTTATCTTCCAACCCTAGCTCCAAGCCTGAACATTGCAATTTATCTTTTGTATTTTGTATTATATAATTAGAAATAATCTTTATTTTTTAAGTCATAAGAACTAACTCTTATATTAGTTTTTAAGAATATTTTTTTGTATATATTAATATTTTTATTTGTTGAGGAATAAATCAAAGAAATCATCTTTCAAATCACACTAAGCAAAAGCACACCAAGTCTTCAAGTATCTTACAAATTATTTTTGGGATTATAATAGCAATTATGGTTTAAAATATTTTTTATTTAAAAATATATTAAAATAATATTTTTTTATTTAAAAAAAATTATTTTTGATATCAATACATCAAAACAATTTAAAAATATATAAAAAAATATTTTTAATAAAAAAAATCAAAATTTAAAAAAACATGATATATACCATGTTCCCAAACAGACCCTAACAATAAAGAAAAAAACAATTCAAGCCGCAACGTTACAATTTATCTTTTGTATTTTATAATTAGAAATAATCATTATTATTTTTAAGTTATAAAAACTAACTTTTATATTAAAATTTTAAAATATTTATATATATATATATATTAATATTTTTATTTGTTCAAGAATAAAACAAACAAATCATCGAGTATTCAATTCACTCTATGCAAAAGCACACCTAGTCTTCAAGTATTTTGCAAAACACTAAATCCCCGAGTCATCAAGATACGAGTCTTCAAATATTCTCATGAAAAAAAGAGTCAGAGGAAAAACAATTTCCTTGTGAAGAATTTGCATATCAGAGATTGTATCCACATACATAATTTTATTAAAATTAAAATTTGTATGCAAACTAATTTTTATACTCCCTTGAAATATAATGTAATAACTCAGCCAGTATTTTCTTATACAATTATATTACTTGGAAGTTTTTCATTTCCATTTCTTGGCATGGATTTTCTTTCTTTAAGTTCTACGACAGCAGCTGTGTTGGATGTCGTATCAGAGGCTTCTTATGGTAAAACGAAAAGCAAAGATCACAAGCATTAACTACTACATATATGGCCCTCCTTATGCTACTATAAACGCACTCGAAGCACCTGTGAAATGGCTGATTGAACCAAAGAGTGCCTTCGCAGCACCAAAATGTCGTATCCTGTACACACCAGAGACTGCTGACTGCGGAATTCTCCATTCTATGGTTGCGTAACTCTGAGGACTAAGTTTTGAAGGCCGTGACCAAATAAACCGCAGGCAGAAGTCGTCATCGTCGTATGCTGGAATCCATGTCTTCTGGCCCTGGAGAATCTCAACTAGAGCAAATGTGCCCTCGGTCAGGAGGTCATTCCTTGGGCAAGCAGACCAGAATGTGACTGTAACCATGTCACCCCTTTTGAAGGTGGAGTTCAAAGGGACGTCACTCTTAACATCTCCAAACTTTGCACCAGGACGGGTTGAATCTAAGACAACTGGAGTTAATAAACTGATTTGCTTGTCAAGGAGATCTGGGGGTTGTGGACCTGGTTCCACAGGTCGGCCACTGATGAGAGCTGCAGCTAGTTTCCTGAACTCCTGAATGTAGGCACTGAGTGTGTGTGGGCCATAAAGAGTGGAGGCCCCCTGGCAGACAAAGTAGCACAGACATAATTGTCAAAAAATCCGTTAAACTTATTTTCATAATCTCTTACGTCTGAAACTTTAAAGCAATGAGTCGATAAGAGGATGAACGAATTTTGGCAACTAACTTCATCATATCAAAACCACCCTTATTTCTGATACCATTTTATTGGATCAAGTTCGAAGCATGAAGCAACTTGTACTGACAAAATCTAACTCCAGTCAGTGATTAACATAGCTTGGAATGAGATTATGAAAAATGGGAAACGAATGACAGACCTCATATCTCTGCACTTCATACTCCTCAAAGGTTGTCACATACTGTGAATATGTATTTGTCAGACCAGAAATGACAATGTGAACATTTCTCCCGAACTCTTTGCTAGCTCCTGAAGTGAGAACCATCTTCACAGCATCGCGAAGGCGCCTGCCAGCCATGGTAGTGAACTCTGCATGGAAAAATAGCATTAGAAATACAAGACACTGAGATTGAGATTAATACGAAATAGAAAATATACGAGTTGTGATGTGGATTTTGATTTGAAGATGCAAAATACTCTTCAGTCTTTGCAGCTTTCCATAGGTAACTACCCATTTACCAACGCATCTAGTGTCATTAAAATCTTCATCTCCCAATTTTCTCTCTAGCTCTACATGCTATTTACTAAAGGATATTAGATGGAGTTAAGGAAGAGTAGCTTACTAGAAGATAAAAGATAAGAAAGAAAAGGTTTTACATGCAAAAAAATCCTAACAAACAGATGTGGAGGAAAGTGATGCAAGGTGCTAAATAAGTGCATAATGCCACTCCATCATGTTACTGTACTAAATGCCATCTCTGCATGTATGATTTATTAGTATCGAATGCTTTTCTCTGAAGAAAGAAAGAAAAAACTAAAAAGACGTTTCCACCTCCAGGTACACTGAGAATGACAAGTTGTCCTATCCGCAAGATTTGAACTGGAAGTATTGAAGGCTGCATAAAAATAGAACCATGGTAGCATCAAATTAGTCCATTTTCTGTGCATAAATGCTTGGAAAATAAAACTCCTTCATAAGCAATCAAAATGCTTTATGACCACCTAAAAGCATCGAACAAAACCTCAACATTTTTAATCACATGATCTATGAAACCATGACAAAGCATAAGAAGGCCAAATATCACACCAGGAACTTTTTCTCCATGAGAACCTCCTAGATATATGCTGAAGAAAACTAGCATGCCTTATTTACATGCAGATTCAGTCACCAAATATTGATATGATGCGTGGTATTTCCAGGAAATATGCTAGATTCAGCCCACTACATGCCTGAGCTGTGGATATGCAACAGAGCACCATGCTTATGATTCTAATTCCATCAATCAGGAAGTAAATGCTCCAAAAGAATACATCCCAGCACCATAAAACATCTAAACACTGTGTAATCCGCTCACAAGATAGTACTGTTTCTCTAAAGAAAAACACACTCGATGTTTCAATTTTCATTAAATGGTCAATGTTTCCATTCATTACTGAAAAGTGTAGGTAACACTTCAAAGGTACAGCCTGTGTTTCTTCTGGGGACAAATCTAGGTCGTTTTCTGTTTCTTATAGAATCAGGTCTAACCATTTTGGACTTGGTATTCCCTATTTCACAATTCAGAAAAATTACCGTACGAAATGCATATGCTTTTGACTTGCGTAACTAGTGAAATTCTCATACAGTAATGCTAAATTGGCTTCCTTCCAATGTATAATAATTGCAAATCAAATTAGATACTCACTGCCCAGGCATACGGTTTGTCCATTTCACCAGTGTCAAGCAGAATAGGCTTTGGACGCTGACAATTGACTTGTTCCTGATTTGGTGTTTTCAGAAAGTCCCTCACCAACCTCCAGAAGGCATTGCCCTGAAAGAGTTCCAAGTAAAACAAAAGATACAATTGCCATTAAGGAATTCCCTTTTCAAATACTAAAGATACTGGATAAAACAGAATGTTCTTTATACTGGCCTTGTCATCTCCTTGCTTGAAATCAAAAGCTCCAGGTCCATCGGTGGTTCCAGCAGCAAAAGCAAAGCCCATGGCTGCAGGACATGTCTTCACCACGTCATTGCCTTGTGCAACTTCAAGATTTGAGAAATTCACATAAGCATGTCGGTACCCAACCTTCCCTTTCAGCTGCTCAGTTGCTTTGTTGAACAATTCGACAGCTTTTTTGAATTGTCTTTCTCCAATGATTCTTGTACTCTCAAATTCATCTGGATAACTGCGAAATGAAAATGGAGAATGGTTAAATCCACAATAGTAACCAACGCCAAAATATTGTTTGAATAAATGATAGAGAAGAGAGACAGAGGCATCTATAGTACATACCCTGGGCCCCTGCCATAACACTGTTCATTCTTCCCGTTGCAGGTACTATGATTGAAATCACAAGGTAGTCCAGTGTCAATGCAGAATGCACCAAGAACATTGGGACTTACATCACCGCAATTAGTTTGACAGAACGCAGATACATAATGGGGTCTGTCAGCCAGCCTCAAAGAATTTCTGACCCGTTTTGCAACACTTGAATACCTCGTAGCAGGTTGCCCCTGAGAAGATTTGAAGGAGGCGGCAACTTCCATCGCTTCCTTACCTGTTACAGAAAGATTATTTACCATAAACATGAAAGTTTCTATTTCCTACAAAAATATAAAATCATGTGCAATGTCCATAACTATGAATCTATGTGGCAGTTTACTCAAACTACCATTTTGTTGGACTTGCATTGAGATGTGAAGCAGAATAGTCTGCATTTCAAATTCAAAGCACAACACACTTGGCCAGTGCAAGGTTGGTATAAAATTTGAGAAGTGATTTGACAGTTGGCCTAGTCACGTGCCCTTAATTTTTTCCCCATTTTCAGATAAATTAAGACCACAAGCTAAATAGAATTAGTTTCAATTTATCTTCCTTGAGATGTAAATGCTACCAATACATAACTACAATGGAACTATGAGATAAAAATATGTAGTTGCGTCATACATGAATTTAACAGTATAAATTTATTACAATTCGACGACAGATGTCCACTTACGGTTCTCATTGATGCTTGGAACTATGCCTGAGACTCTTCGAGGGATTTTTGCAGTTCCAGATTTATTAGCATGTTGGCTATCCAAATTTTCAACATGGCCTTTCTTCTCAAACCAGTCCTCCATAAATCGTGCAGCAGCTCCTTTGTTGTCACCACTTATCAGTGAGTTTGTACGACTCATTGAAGTTCCATGAGTTGCAAACCAGTTAAAACTACCTACTGGCCCCCACTCATCATCCACAAACTTTATTAGGGTCATTTCTTTATCCACATCATACTTATATTTACTCCGCTCTTCTGCAGGATTATTAAGATAAGCACTAGGACTGCGATTTACACCAGCATCTAACAGCTCTCCTGCAAAACAATCATTAAAATATCATATATTATATTCTTGGAATCCAGCATGAAGATATCTAAACAACAACAAAGAACAGGAAAGGAAATGTGGCATGGTTGGTCAGTCAACTTTAACCCTACAACTCTTACTTAACCTGACGCAGGGGTTAATCTGGTGGGATGTTGTCCCTTCCATAAGTAAATAAAAATGTACTCCCTCCATTCTACTTCCCGCGGCTAGTCTTTGGTGATCCAACTTTTCAAGGGAGTAACCACTAATTATGTTCTCACTCTTTGGAAAACATGTGCATTCCATAATTGCCTTTCCACAATCTCATGTTTGCTTCTCCTAACTACTCTATTTAAGAAAATCATGGCAACTCCATAAATACTATATAGAAGTGAACAACATTTTGAGACAATCCAAAGTCGAAGGTTGGTAAAAAAAAAAAAACTTAGATGAACGAGTCAAAGAACAATAGGCGTTGAAAAAAAAAAAGTGACACACAAACTTCAGTAAATTATTCAGTGTCTGCTTTCCGTGAAAATGAGAAGGCAGAAATCTTCTTAAATTTATCATCATCTTCTGGTATTTCAGTTTCTTCCTTTCTGCTAGATGACATTGAGCTACTAAATAAAGATTTCTATGGCAAGAAAATCAATAAAGAACTGGAAGCTGCTAAGGTCAACCAGCAATGCAACAAAGAGTATTTAAGTCATCCTACTAACCTTTATTTACAAAAATTGACCCTGGCCGAAGATTTTCATGAGCTTGTATGATGCTTTTCTCAATACCATCAACAATAACATCAAAAGACTGGCGAACAAACCCAAGCGAAGTCACAATATATACAACATATTGCAGATAGCCTCCAGGCCCGGCATGGGTGTGGATACCACTAATCGCAACATTCTGCTCTGTATAAAGCCCTCCATACCTAAGAAGAAAACAGAGAAGATATGATATGATATGATATTTGTTCACGCAGCACTAAGATTAGGAGCAACCTCACAGATGACCCAAAGAGAGGGCTAGTGCCCACCTCCACCAACAACTTCCCTCTCATATCAAAACCCTAATCAAACAAACCAAAAACCTCTCCCCTAACTACCAAAAAAACTCCAAAGACAATGTGTATGCGTTGATGTTGGTGTCGGCATCAACAAAAACATCATGGTCATTCAAACTGCTTATTTGAAATTCTTTAGCATATAAAACACCAAAAATTCTTTGTTAATGAAACTAAACAATGCTCATAAACCACATGTTAATTTATACTAGAAATTTGGTTCTTTTCTATTTTACAAGCATATTAGTAATTAAAAAAAAATTGAGAAAAAAAGCTAGATAAAAGACACTGTTAGGAATCTACCTTGCTTTCAATCTCTCAAGAACTTTAATAGTAACAATCTGCGAAGCCATACAAGCATCAAGGTTCACATATACAACACGGCTCCCCTGAGGTTCAGCCACAATGAATGCACGAGCTCGCAACCTGAAGTGAACACCAGAAGCAATCTGTTCCGTATTTGCATACCCCATCATGTTGACATCAGCTGCAGGCCCTGTTATGTCATAGCTCCCGAGTCCAATCAAGTAATTGGAAGTTGATAAACTCCCTCTAAAATTCTGCATTAACATCACCAAGAACAAAACGGATGCAATTTGCACCCATAACCCACTATACCCTCTCGGAAAAATGTCCATCGCCTTCACTCAATCTGCATCCTTCACCAAGAAAAAAAGTGCTTAGTGAAAATAACTCTGAATACTATTCAAAACGAAGATCCAAGGCATTGTTAAAGAAGACAAAGGGGAGATTCTGTGCAAGGAAGTCTCATGATTAGAGCTAAAATGGTCGACAATTTAAACAATAATTTCCTTCCATTAGAGAAAGTAATTAGTAGATAATTAAAGAAACTCACGACCATATGATAGAGTTTTAATGCAAAAGGGAGAGATATTTATTCTATCTAAAGAGGGAAATGTTATAACTGCGTTCCATAATAATATAGTACAGAGAAAAGCTTGGATTACCGAGAGAGGGAGACATATAACTTCAGTTCTGCTGTGGTTATAGCAGAAAGAAAGCAGCATCAAGACATACATCCATATTATACATAAATTTTGTACGCGTAAGCAGCAGACAGAAAGGGAGAGCAAAGAGTAGAAGCAAAGTGACAAACACCCAAGTTTCTCCCTTCCTTGTGGGGCCGGAAGGAAGAAATTACAAATGGGAACCTTAGTTATTTATTAACCAACTCGGCTGTTTCCTCTTTGGGCTTATTTTTTATTTTAGTTTTTATTTGCTGGATTTTCTATCTGCAGTGTGTCGTGTTTTTCATCTGCATTTTTCTTCATATGGCCGCAAAGGTTGAAGAATTCATTCGTGTTTTGGCCAATTCAAGGCTGAACCTTCTTCGTGTTATACAAGACAAAAACTCAGTTTTATGATTAATTTCTTTAGTTTTGAGGGTGTCTTGAAAGTGTATTTAAAAAACTTTAAATTTTTTTATTTTAAATTAATATGTTTTTTATGTTTTTAAATTATTTTGATATATTAATTTTAAAAATAATTTTTAAAAAATAAAAAAAATATTATTATTATATTTTTTAAATAAAAAATATTTTAAAAACCAACACCAACTATATTTTTAAACACATATTAAAATACATGATATTTGTTGTGCATCCCTGACATGCTTGCTCAAATCCAATTGATTCTAGGTTTCATTCCGAATCATTTTTTATATTAATTTAGATTATTTATTGAGTTGATTTTTACTTAGATTATATTGGTAAATCCAGTTCAAACTTATCCATATCAAGATTTGAGAATTAAAAAAAAATTATAAAATATTATTTAAAAAAATATATAACTAAACTGATATATTAACTTAAAAAAATATAATTAAATTGATATAATAACTTTCGAGTTCACCTGATAATTTAATAACTTAAATTTTAAATTTGTCATATTCTAGTTTCGGGTAAATTAACTATACTTATTTCATAATATTTTTGGAGTACTCATATTTATATTGTAGTAATTTCATATAATTTTTTAGCAATTTCAAGCATACACTATGGTATTGTAGCCCGCTAAAAATAAAAATTATTGATAGGATATGAGGTTATAATCAAACAATTAAAAGGTATTTATAGAAATATAATTAAAAAAATATAAAAATAAATTATACTCTTTAATTATTCAAAAATTTTAATTTTATTATTTAATATAATTTTTTATGATTATATTAATGAACTTACAATCTAAATCTTGATTCACTGTTATTTGATGTCGCCACCGTTTTCAGTTTTTTTTAATTATTAATATAGCTATTTAAAATAGTTTATATATAGATCTTAATTAATTTTATATATTTTAAAATTTAAAATTATATAAATTTTTAATAATCATTAAAATTTATAAAATTTAAACTAATAATATTTAAAAAACCGATGAATTAACTTATAACTGTTTGCTTTAGTTTGCAGGTTCGGGCACGCCAAGGCACTTGGGCATCACCAATCTTCATGGATCTCATGATTGCAGTGAGGATGGGCTTGAGTGTGCCATCTAGAAGAAGAAATGATTTGCTCATTCATCACGAGAGGATGCTTCAATGTGAACGTGTCATGTGTTGGGTAGCTCTTCATTTTGATTTTTTTACTTCTTTTAGAAAGGTGCTAGGTATTTAAATTGTTATGTTGGGGTCGGTGGAGCTCACGGAGGAGATGAGCCCTTATTCTGTAATTTCTAGATTGGTTTAGTAATGATTTTTAAAATCGTGTTTATATATATATATATAAACAATTTATATTTTAAAACAAAATAATTTTTTATTTTTTTAATTATAGTTATCTAAACTAATTTATATACATCTCAACTAATTTTTTAAGACCTTAAAATTTATTATTATATAAGTAATTATTTCTTTATAATACATGAATTAGTGATTTTTGAAAAATAAATTAAAATTTTGATTAATTAAACTATACCACTCATTATTATTACCTAATACTCCAAAATATGCAAGGATAGTATTGTTGCTTTTTCTACATGTTTTTTTATTTTTTTTTGTTTTTTTGTGTTTTTTTGTAAGAATATCTTCTTCTTTTTCTTCTGTTTTTGTTTTTTATTTCTTTTTATTTTTGTGCTTTTTAAAAGTTATTTTTTAATATTGAATTAGTTGAAAATTTAGTTTTATAATTTTTTTCTATAACACATTATAAATTACAACAATATTTTTTCATATGATTTTTATTTTGCTATAGTGTTTCACCACCTGTATTTTTTTCAAATTATCTTTGTTAATTTATTTTTTAATATTGAGCTGATTAAGAATTTAGCTTTAATTTTCTCCTTATGTTTTTTTTATTTTTTTTCAAAATTTTATATTTTTTTAATATGGAGCTGATTAAGAATTTAACTTTGTAATTGTTTTATTTTTTTAATATGAAACTGATTAAGAATTTAACTTTGTAATTGTTTTCTCTTTAAAATACAGTGAATTGTTACAGTGTTCCCCTACATGTTTTTTAAATTGTTTTTATTGACTTTAAAACACAGTGAATTGTTACGGTGTTCCCTACATGTTTTTTAAATTGTTTTTATTGATTTTATTTTTTTAATATAAAGATGATTAAGAATTTAGTTTTGTATTTTTTTTCTTTTTAAAAAACTGTGGATTGCTATAGTGTTTCCCCACATATTTTTTTATAATTTATTTTATTTTTTTAAAAAATTATCTTTGCTAATCTTTTTTCGTATTAAACCAGTTAAGAATTTAGCTTTCTATTTTTAAAAAAATTTATCTTTGCTAATCTTTTTTCATATTAAACCAGTTAAGAATTTAGCTTTCTAGTTTTTTAAAAAAAAACACTATGGATTACTACAGTATTTCTACATATGATTTTTTTTAATTATTTTTTTTAAATTTTATTATTTTTAATATTAAGTTAGTTGAGAATTACAATTGTAGATTTCATATTATAAATAACTATAGTGTTTTCCTACATGGCTTTAAAATTATTGATTTTATTTTTTATATTAAACTAATTAAAATTTTAACTTTTTATAGTTTTTTTAAAATATCATAAATTACAATAATTTTTTTCCATATATATATATATATATATGTTCACAATAATTTTTAAACATATCATAAACTCACGGGATCGCGCGACATCGAGTGGCTCAGTATTTTATGGCGTCCCAATGTGGCGTAGTGCCACCACCTACCTCGCTATGAGCACTTAACTGTCTAATTTCAACAACTTTATGGCACTCAAAAAGTGGCGTGCCACCAGCCACCTCGCATTCACACACCTCAGAGTTGGGGATAGAATATTTGTCAAACTAGACTGAGTGCTGCCATGGTCCACAAGCCATGGTTCTTAAGCATTTGCCAGAAATCCAGTCGAGCGATGGTGCTGGCGGTGTCGTTCGTAATTAATTACATCAACCCTACTTATACGATCTGGCTCTCCACATCTGCCTAATGACCTTTCCAGCTGGTACCTTTTGATTAATTTGATAACTCTGTGATCCAAGAGCTTCATTCAAGTTTGTGAAAAAAAAAAAGTTTTGTTTTATTAATTTCAGGTTTTTTATTTTTTTTCCTGAAATAACCCAAAACAATATTTTTGTAAAATAAAAGCCGCTGCATTAAACCAGGTAAATTATATCTTTGTAACTTTAAATATATGAAAGTGTAGTATTGGTTATTTTTTGAAGTATTTTTATTTAAAAATATATTAAAATAATATTTTTTATTTTTAAAAAAGTTATTTTTAACATTAATATATTAAAATAATTTAAAAATATATAAACAAAACAAATTTTAAAATTTAACAAAAGATGGTTGCATGGACTGCCCAAACACTCCTTAGCCCTGAAGCCCATCCTTTAATTCTTTTTGCTTTTGAGTGAGAATTCGTTGACCCATGCAACAAAAAATTATATATTTCAATTAAATTGGATGTTGTGGTTCAAAACTATAAAATTTAATTAATTTTAGTGTTCAAAAACACAGTGTCAATTATAGTCAGTACACCAAGCAGAGCAGCATCAGTTCCAGATGAGTTTTTTCATAGAGCCAAAGGCGTCCCAGTTGTGCAAAGCATCAGTTCCAGATGAGTTTTTTCATAGAGCCAAAGGAGTCCAGTTGTGCAACTCAAGCATGTCAACGCAGCCTGGCCTTTTTTCCTGACTCAATCTTTCTCAGTAAGTTTTCTTCTCAAGTTATTGCTGAGAGGGCTTCTGTACCTCTCACTGCAAGGGCCATCGCCGTCGCTAGCTCGTCAAGATTCTGCTCTGCCTGGAATGGTTGAAGTTGTAACGAAGCAAATCTCTTATTGTGGAGAAATTGAGGTCTATGATTTTGTATGTTGGCTTCAAAGGGTGAGAATAACTAGCTAGCAGCCCTCCCATCTTCAAGAAGACTTTATCTCAGAAGTTTGTTGTATATTTTTCATGTGCCCGACACTGCAAGGAGGTATACAGATTGTGTGGAGCTCCAAGGGGCCCTCCCATCTTATATCTTATGTTACCCTTGATAAAGGCAACTGTGCGGTGTTTTCTTACCTCTTCCCATCTCTTTATATTTATGGCAAGATGCTGTCATCGGTGACTGCAACATCAAGTTGACGGGTGGGTTTTCTGGGTGCTTGATAATGTATCTTTGTTTTGGATTTTCAAATAATAATATAAATTATATTATATGATTTTATCTAATAATTTAAATTTATAGATTGAAATAATTCTTTAATATAATATTAAAGTCTTAATAATTAAGTACAAGTCTAAAACCTCATGATATACCCTAAAAAATATAAAAGCTTGTTACAAGGAAAATATGTAATATTTTATTTAAAAAAACTGAAAAAAATGCAAAAACAAAAGTATAAAAGCTGTTGTCATTGCTTGAGTCGATTTCGAGAACAGAGAAAAACATAAATAGAAAGGATATAAACATGGATGGAAAAAAAAAACATAAAATAAATGTGTTTTTGAAATAATTTTAGAGTTATTTTTTATTTTTTAAAAACAAAAGATATAAAAGGACATATCTTTCCTTTTTCCGTCATCTTTTTTTCTTTTTTCCGACACGTCTTATTTCTC